CACCCTCAGCAGCAACAATTTCTTCCTTCTCTCCAGTCTAAATCTCCCTCTTGGAGTTTCCAACCATCCCCCCTTGTCCTGTCCCAACAGACCCTGCTCAAAAGTCCCCCCCAGCTTTCTGGCAGGACAACTTTAAGCATTGAGAGGTGGCAATAAGCTCTCTAAATTTCACAGGATGGTTTCATGCTTGTGCACCTCTGAGCTTTGAGGGCTGAGCCTGCAGCAGGATTATATTCGATTAGATGCCACTGCCCCGTGTCCCTCACCCCACATCTCCACGGCTTGGGAACCCCTCCAGGGGTGGGGACTCCACCACTGCCCTGGGCAGCCTGGCACAGCCCTGGGCAACCCTCCAGGGCAAGAAATTGTTCCTCAGGGACAACTGAAACCTCCCCTGGGGCAACTTGAGGCCCTTTCCTCTTGTCCTGTTGTCCCTTGGGAGCAGAGCCCGACCCCCCCCTGGCTCCAGGCTCCTGTCAGGAGCTGTGCAGAGCCAGAAGGGCTCCCCTGAGCCTCCTTTGCTCCAGGCTCAGCACCCCCAGCTCCCTCAGCTGCTCCTCCCCACACTTAGCCTCTAGACCCCAGCATGAAACCAGGAGATCCAAGCCCACCACCACTTTCAGGTCTTCAGGCTGAACCCATCACCCCACACTGACCCGGGTCACCCACGGTGTGGGCGTTTCCATCACCTCCTCCCCCAGCCCACCACAACCCTCCCTGGGTGGGAGGTCAGGAACTAAATCTGGTGGAGGGCAGTCCCCGTGGGCATCCTTACCACCACGCCGGCCTCGCTGGTGAGGTCCTGGCACCTGCTGCTCTCCCAGCAGGGGCCGCTGGCACCGGACGGGGGGCAGAGCAGCAGCCCCAGCACCACCCCCACCACCACTGGTAAGCTTCTCCACCACACGCTCCCCATCCTGCCCTGGGGCTCACGGGAGGGATTCACGGGGCTGAGGATGCAGGAACCGTGCAGGAGCTGTGGGAGGGGAGAAAAAAACAACCCAACAAACCAAACAAAGTCACTTTGTTCCCCTTCTCCACCCCAGCAGCAAGGGGGGGATCTTGCCAGAGGGGAAACCGAGGCATGGAAAAGGGACAACACCCTAAGCTGCATCCTCGCCCGCACCCACATCACCCAGGAGAGATTTTTCCTGCTCTGAAACACCAACAACCTTCCTCCTGCCTCCTCCTGCTGCCTCCTGGGCTGAGGAGCTTCTCTCTGGAGCCCGGGTCCTTTGTCACGGCTGAGGGCGGTGACAGCCGCTGTCGGTGGGGATTGCTGCTGACTGAGTGTTTTATAGCTAATGGCACCAGAGAAGGGCTTGGGTTGGAAGGGATCAGGGAGATCATCTCGTTCCAACCCCCTCCCTGCCACGGGGATCCAGGTTGCTCAGAGCTCCCTTCAACCTGGGCTTGAACCATCCCGGGGCTGGGGCATCGCCCACCTCTCCGGGCAACCTCTTCCAGGGGCATCGCCCACCTCTCTGGGCAACCTCCTCCAGTGTCTCATCAGACTTCAAATGAGACCCAAGTCGGTGGCTCGGGTTTTGGGGAAGGGCTGCGGCAAGTGCTGGGGGTGTTTGGGATGTGGCATCACCCGGGGGCTGCCAAAATCCACCCCAGAGGCAGCTGAAACCCAAGGGCTGAAGCGGACGCTGCTGAGGTGCCCCCAAGGCTGAGGTTTGGGGGGGTTCCTGGACATCCCTGGGACCTGGCCCCGGTGTCCCCATGGACACCCGGGGTTGCTGTCCCTCTGAGAACCCCCCAACTCCCTCCCAAGCAGCCGTGTTTAACTCGGGGTGTCTTTTCTCCCCCTCAATGCTGCAGGAGCTCTACGGGAGGAAAACCCCATCCCGCAGAGAAGAAAAATCTGATTTTGGCCCCAAAACGTGTGGCTGGAGGGGGG